CATAATGACAACTTTGTACTTTTTGACTTATTACCTTACTTGTTAGAATGAGTCTTATCAAAAAGACTAAATATAACATGTGCTCACAAAAATGTGTAGAAAAAAAGAGTCCTTGTACATTGCTGATGAGGATGCAAATTTTTGTAGCCATTATGGAAACAATATGGAGGTTCCTCAAAAAGATTAAAATTAGGCCTACCATGTAATTCAATAATCCATCTTCTGGCCATATAACCGAAGGAGATGATAACACAGTCTCAAAAATACCTGCACTCTTATGTTTATTACAGCATTAGTTTACAGTAGTCAACATGTGGAATCAACCTAATATCCAGCACAGATAAATGCATAATGAAAATATTTAATAGCTCAATCCCCAGGAACAAAAACATAATATATACCGTATATATACATATATGTATATAATACAGAAATAGAGGCACACACACACACACACACACACACACACACACACACACACTTTGAAATACCATTCAGCTTTGAAAAAGAAGGAATTACTGTCATAACAGCATGAGGAACTTCAAAGGATGCTATGCAAGTAAAAAAAAGCAGGCATAGAATGTCAAACAGCACATGAACTTGCTCAGATGTGGAGTGTAAGAAGACCCAAATACAAAGAAATGGAAGGTAGGACAGTGGTCATCAGAGGCTGGGGAATGAGAAGGAGAGGAAGGAGATGTGCTTCTCAGAATACAAAGCTGCCATTATGCAAGATAAATAAAACTAAATATCGTGGGACTGGGAAGGTGGCTCAGTGGTAGAGCACTTGCCTTGCATGCATGAGGCCCTGGGTTCGATTCCTCAGCACCACATAAGCAAAAAGAAAAAAGCCGGAAGTGGCGCTGTGGCTCAAGTGGTAGAGCGCTAGCCTTGGGCTGAAGAGCTGAGGGACAGCGCCCAGGCCCAGAGTTCAGGCCCCACGACCGGACCCAAAAAACTAAATATCATGTGTGTGTGTGTGTGTGTGTGTGTGTGTGTGTGTGTGTGTGTGTGTGTGTGTGTGCGCGCGCGTGCGCCAGTCCTGTGTGTGAACTCAAGACCTGGGCTCTGTGCCTGAGCTTATGTGCTCAAGTCTTGCTCTCTACCACTTGAACCACAGCTCCACTTCTAGCTGTTGTTTTTGTGCTTAATTGGGGCTAAGAATCTTACAGACTTTCCTGCCCAGGGTGGCTTTGAACCATGATTCTCACACCTCAGTCTCCTGAATAGTTAGGATTACAGGTTTGAGCCACCAGTACCCGGCAAATGTAAATTTTTGTTTGTTTGTTTGTTTTGCCGGTCATGGGGCCTGAACTGTGGGCCTGGGCGCTGTCCCTCAGCTCTTCAGCTCAATGCTAGCGCTCTACCACTGGAGCCACAGCGCCACTTCCGGCTTTTTCTGTTTATGTGATGCAGGGGAATCGAACCCAGGGAGGGCCTCATGCTTGCAAGGCATGCACTCTACCGCTGAGCTACCTTCCCAGCCCTGTAAATATTTTTTGAATCCATTTATTTTTCTACACACACACTGCTGCCACCCTTATAAAATCCCCCAAAACCTTTTATCTGCACATACTTTCAACCCCTCCCACCCATCTCCCTGACGGCCAAACATAGTGCCTTATGTTCACAAGTCTATTTCATTCTTTCCCTGAGCATAAAGATTGACCACATCTCCTGACTCCAGTTTCGCTGGAAAACAGGGAAGATGAGCTGACATAATGACATCTCCAAGGTAGATCCTAAAACCCATCTGCGTGGCTTATTGGCATGATTCAATGAGGGCTATACATAGAAGAAGTCAGGATCCCTGAATCACAGTGCACAAAGCTGCCTGCCAAATCTCCAAGTGGACTACAATAGCATTGAATGGTGTTGGTACCCTGCTGAAACCAATTGGTTCTAGATGTCTAGTTTTATGTGTGTGTGTGTGTATGTGTGTGTGTGTGTGTGTGTGTGTGTGTGCTGGTCCTGGGACTTGAACTCAGGGCGTGGGTGCTGTGAGGTTTTTTGCTGAGGTTTTTTGCTCAGGTCTAGTGCTCTACCACTTGAACCACTGCTCTACTTCTGGCTTTTTGGTGGTTCATTGGAGGTAAAAGTCTCAGACTTTCCTGCCCAGGATGGTTTTGAACTGCTGTCCACAGATCGCAGCCTCCAGAGTCTCTGGGATTACAGGTGAGAGCCACCAACAGCCTGTTTTCTTCCGCTAGTTTGGAATGCTACTTTTTCTTTCTTTTTAATCCTGAATGAGTGTTAAGGTTTTATCGATTCTTTTGTTTTTTCAAGACAAGTTCTCCTTATGTTGCCCTGTTTGGCCTTGAACTCATGATCTTCCTGTCTCCACCTCCCATAGTGCTAGGATTATAAGAATGCAACTCCTGTTCCTACTGGTTTCAAATATATTTTACGTATCTATTGAGATGATCGTGTGTTTTGTCCCCTTATCAATATGGTACTGTAGTTTGTTTCTGAAACTAAAATCTAAGGATCACATTCAGTGTACAAAACAGGGTGAGGAGCTGCACTAAGCTGAAGCAGATAGGCAATCCTGCAGCTACCAAGCTGGCTTGCTAGCTTCTCCCTTCCAGGTAATACTGGGCTCCACAGAAAACTGAAACATGTGCTAGGAACAGTCAGTGGCCCCCATGGATCCCATGCACAAGTCCTTGTTGGGCTTGGCTCTCTCAATCAAGCCCTAAGTCTCAGCCTCAGAAAACCTTGGTTGTCAGTGCTGGCAGGTTACAAGACCCTGGCTACTTTATAAGTCTCCCCCAAAGCATCCTGCAAATTACAGGTTATCCTAGCACTGAGCTCCAAATCCCACTCTCTCTTTTCTCCTTTGGCTTAAAGGCTGATCTAAGGAGGCTTAGAGTCCTTCACACTTGGCCTTTTTGGTGGCATCATTCCATTAGAAGTTACTTCAGGGCAACAGTTAAAGTAAAGTTGGCACACCTAAAACCCTGATTATAATTAACCAAAACCACAGAGGCTCCGTATCTCAAAGAGACTGTAGACAGTCCACTGATTACTTTTTGGGAAGACTAATTAAGAAACTATTACAGAAGATGAATATACCCCCACTTCCCCAAGTACACTATTGACATGAACAGATACACAATCGGTATAATAGTTGCTATATCACAGCCTTGTTCTTCCCAAAGAACACTATCTTATTCAGGAACAGGTAAAGGTTTGGGGAGAGGTGCTTAGTAGAAATAAATACTGTCCTTTTGATTAAAAATCTAACAGGTTGGCATTGAAGGAACACACACTATGGCCTAGAAAACCTCAACCTTAGGTGTTGCTTCCATGCCACTGACAGCATCTCAGAGAAGCTAGCAAGGATCACTCTCAAGGAGCATCTTGGGATGGCATGCACATCTTTGGGCTAATGGGCTAACTACATGGCCTCAACCTAATTTCCTAGAACTTCAGATCGGCCAGGTGTGGGTGGCTCACACCTGTAATCCTAGCTACAAGAGGCTGAGATCTGAGGATTGTGGCTCAAAGCCAGCCCAGGCAAGAAAGTCTGTAAGACTCTTATCTCCAATTAACCATCAGAAAACTGGATGTGGGCCTATGGCTCAATGTGGTGGAGCACTAGCCTTTGAACAAAAAAGTTCAGGGACAGCACTCAGGCCCTGAGTTTGAGCTCCATGGCCAACAAAAAGTTATCTAGATATATCTAAATAGATATATATGTATGTATGCATCTGCTGATCAAATAGTACTTAGCTCAGTAGTTCTCCACTTCTACCTACTAGAGAAATATTCCCTTGCAGTTTGTATTCTTCAAGTTGAACTTGTCTTCTCTATTTGACGATATTTGCCACAGTTTCCAAATTCCGGCATGTTTGTTGGGTACTGGGCAGGCGCAGCAGCAGCTTGGGCATAGACTGCCAAGTGACAAGGGCCTCACTGGAGCAGGAGGGACAATCCGGAAACACACATGGCCATGGGCAAACCTCACAACCAAGGCTTTTTTGCTCTTTGTTTTGTAATAGGTGGAAGAATCAAAGAAACAGGACACACAATTCTGATCAGGGGAGAGCTAGGATGGCGCTGTGACATGGAGATGGAAAAAACACCACCTCACATAACAGTGGCACTCTCAAAGTATGGACTCTGGGCCAGAAACTTCAGTGAAGCTTTCAGGAAAAAAAAAAAAAAAACGAAACAAAACCACACCACATGCTTTTTCTTATAACACTACAAACCCCACTACCATGTGCTTCATACACATCCAAGTACTGACGCTAGGCAAAATGTCCACAGTGCAGCTAGGACGTCCAAACCAGTCTTTAAATGCTACCATAAATCACCATTTAGCAGCATCCACAACCCCCATTCAAATCCTCCACTAACATAACCACTGAAACACGGCAATCCTTTTCTAGTAAAAACGGCCATCTACATTTGATGAATCAGACCCAATAGTGGGTAGATCATTCCACTTTTCATATAGTTGGCCCTTACAAATGGTGGATTCCAGCAGCCTAGAATGTTTTGATTTTCTGGAAGAAGACAAATGGAGAAATTGGATAGTGCCTTTATCCCACCACCACCCCAACTCACAGACCCAGGAAATGCAAGCAGTAGCTTGCAATCTCCTTAAATGGCGAGTACGACCAATACCTGCATGCGCCACTGCAGGGAGGGTAGCTTAGGGAAATATTCTTGCAATTTAGGAATGCATTTAGCCCCACAAAATTGGCATGGCACAAACAAAAGTGAAAACGTGGCCACACCAGCCCCCATCCTCACCACCAGCCCTTTCTCATACCTGATGCCTGCTTAACCTTACTTGTGGCATTATCTTAGCTCCAACATTTACCTTGCATCTCACCATGGTGCCACCCACACGCAGGCAAATCATGGACTTGCTGTAGGTGCCCCCTCCCACATCTCTGCCCTACACTGAAAGAAATGACCAGATCATCTAGGCTAATTGTCTCACTAGGACTGCTGTTGAGTCAGAAAGTTTAGCTGTTATAAAACAACACTTTTAAAAACGTAATACTGTTTATTTTAACTTCAAAAACATTTCAACATTCTAAACATACAAAAAAATAACAGAACGTTGCAAATTGTGTTTAAGTACAGAAGGTTCTTGAACTTTCCTTTGCTGACAATGAACAGTTCCAGTTTGTGTAAAAACAAAGGGTTTAAAACCTACCACACTTAACTAAAAAAAAAATACACTTCTCATGCCAGCTGACCCCCCCCCTTTCCACAGCTAAGAATGGCAGCAAATGCTATGTCACTATGTACAGAAACAAGACAACCTGAAGCTAAATGGATGCCCACTGCAGTGTCAACAGGTCCAGCCTCACAGTGCATGCCCTGAGCTACGGCCCCTCCAAAAGGCATCTTCCTCCACAGCCTCAACGCCAGGCAAGGAGCATCAAGAGTCTGTCTTGGTTGTTTTGTTCTTTTTACAAACTATAGATATGTACAGCTGGTAACTCAGGATTTCTAGCCAATAACCATAGAGTTAACACCACCTTACAGATTGAAAACAAAATGCCAGAAACATCTTCAAATGTTTTGTCACACCCACAGCAAAGTGCACAGAGAGGAGAACACGAGTGCCTTTTCTTTTTAAAAATGTTTGCAAATATGTACAACTTTGATACAGTTTCAGGTGCTCTGGACACCCATGGCTACCTTCATGTAAACCACTGACAAAATTTCTAGAGCACTTTGAGAGACTACAATGATCGCGATCAAATTTTGTAATTAAACCTAATAAGAGCAATAGACACGTCTCAAATAAGAGATGTGCCGATCACGGCGCTCCCCTACTCTAAGATATTCACAAGGAGACAGATCAATAGGTTTTTTTTTATTCATCATCCTCCTCCTCCTCCTCTTCTTCCTCCTCTTCCTCTTCTTCATCTTCATCTTCCACCTTTTTCCGGGCAACTTTAGCAGGACCTTTAGCACCATCAAATTTCCCTTTAGATTTGTAATCAGCAACATCCTAGAAGGAACAGGAAACACATTCCAAGTGAGTAGCCAAGTTCACCTTGCTGTTAGACCAAAAGGTAAGTCCTCAACTCAGACAAGCAGCAGGCACTGATAACAAGGGAGCATGGGACTCTGTTCTATGTCAACATCTGTTTTTCATCCAGTCAAATTTTAACTGGGGTATTCTACCCCAGTATCCTTCAAGTCAAGTGAAGATGTGACCCCCAGTAAAACATTTTTTGTAGGAAGAGTGAAGGGCAGTCAGTGGTAGGTAAGGTAGTGGGCCCCTGGGTTTCACTGTGAGCAAGCCAAGAGGAAAAAAAATACTGGATGAGGAAAAAATTCAAGCTTGCCTAAAGTCATCTTAGTCTGCATGACAAAGAGCTGTGAGAAGTGTAAATAGGAGCATAGAAGGCTGACCTTATAGGGAGAAGGGCCTCTGCATGCTAGGCTGACTACATTAGCATAGCCACGCCCCCACTATTACCCACAAAAAGCAGGGCAAAATAGTGTACCATACCTTTTCATACTTCTCTTTCAGCTTTGCAGCCTTGGTGATGTAGGGCTGTTTCTCATTATCACTTAAGTTGTTCCACATCTCACCCAGTTTCTTGGCCACATCACCAATAGAGATGCCAGGGTTTGTAGACTTGATCTTGGGACGAAATTCTGAGCAGAAAAGGAAAAATCCAGACCTTGTGGAAGAGAAATACATATATTAAATGAAAATGGACAAAAAGATTAGTTTAGGTTAAATTCCTAAGTTCCTCAGCTTATATATATTTTTCCTTTCATTCTGAGACACAGGTCTTACTATGTACCTCACACTGACCTTGAACTCACAATCAATCTTCCCTGACTCACTCTCCTAAGATCCAGAACTGGAGGCATCTATCACCATATCCAACTTGAGTTTATATTATTTTTAGCATGAAGATCTCTTATCAAAGTGAAAATTGTATTGTGCACAGAACATTAAAAGTCCTGATGGGTTTTAGGAAGGTCTCACCACACAACTATACACAGGATTCTACAAAGAGTCCACAATGTTACTGAAAGGTACTATGCTCTAGCTTTGCTTTACTTGGTAAATAGTTTTTTTTTTTTAAACGTGCCTATGGCTGGCACCCAGAAAGAAAGAGGCCTGCCTTTCTACTGCGAAAGCCAACCAGCAGTGTGCACGAACACACAAAATACCCAGTATCTACAAACATCACCCTTAACAATATGGACAACACATCAACCTTGAACAGGGGGGGTTCAAGCTTAAAGTCCTTGATCATCGAGAGCAGCGACCTGAGATCTAATGTCAGTAGTACCGCACCCCCAAAAGCTGAAAGTACAGACGATTTTGCATTAAGTATCTCAACATCCTTACATAAATTGACTTGAAAAGGGAAAGCCGTGAGTTATTGCAAATCCTAGAGTTACTTACGGTGGTCTCTTGGGGGCATTTGGATCCTTTTTCTTTTTGCCTCCCTTAGCTGGTCCGTAATCCTTCATCTCTCGATCATAGCGCACCTTATCTGCTTTTGCCATCTCATCAAATTTAGCTTTCTCCTTCCCAGACATTGTCTGCAAAGAGCAAGACCTGTTAACTAAATTGCTGAAAAAACTGACAACTCGCCTGCCCAACTGGGCATCTGCAAAACTACTTGCAAAAGGAGGTAAAGGCTTCACATCCCCTGTGGGGTTTTAAAAATACACACCTCCAAAGACAAGAAAGAGCAGTCTGGGTTTGAAGAAGCCAGCCACCTGGGGTGATTTTGAAGGACAACAATTCCCCCTCTGCTCCCCCTCCCCCAGTGTAAACTAAGACTAGTATGAACATACAAAGTAGAATACCTTCCATCTCTCTGAGCATTTCTTGGAAAATTCTGCAAAATTGACAGGAACTTCTGGGTTTTTCTTCTTATGCTCTTCCCTGCAAGTCTGCACAAAAAAGGCATATGCAGACATCTTGCCCTTTGGTTTTTTGGGGTCACCTTTACCCATGTTGACTGTGATGGACAGAAGACAAAAGGGGAAAAAGCTCCGTAAAATATACAATTATAAAGAGATGTCAAAAGCAGAGTAAACCTTGTAAGTTTTCTATGAGGAACCCGCCTCTCCGCCACACCTGATACCACGTCAGAAGGCAGAGTAGCAAGGAAATCAGCTTCACTGTCTCTTGTCATTTAACTTTTGACCAGCGTGAAGCGCGCTGGTTTGCAAGTTACTTCTCCAGAGCGGATCAAGTTCTTCAAATGGGGTTGGATCGCCTACTTGGGTGCTGGGGACTGCATGACTGAGCTACTACGTTTTGTAAACAACCATAAAGCGCCAAGAGGGGATATTTGTAAGGGGGTTGGTGGCAGATGATAGAGAGTTAAGGCTAGGTGGTTGCCCTTTTACTGCTCCATTTAAAACATCACCTTCACCGGCTGCTAAACCAAATCCAATCAAAGCAAAAGCTTTAAATAGAAATACAAGAAATGTCGTTATTGTTGATGTATTGGGGTTAGAAAAACCAGCATTTGCAATCCTCCCAGAGCAGGTATCTCTTGGGCGAGGAGTGGAAATCCGTCACTTGTTCACTGTAAAGAGGATGGGACATAGAAAGCGCTGGGGTGACCCATGTGTACGGATGGCCAAATCCAGGTCCAGCCCGGCATACTTTTCCTAAAGTTTCCAAATGAAAATGCAGCTGTGGCATGTCATCGTTCCTGTCCCCCCCCCCCAGCTTCCCGCCATCTTTTCCTTTTCCCACACCCAAGGTCATCATGTAAAACCAAAAGCGCTTCCCATGGTAGCGCCCGCCTGCGGGGGGCTGCATTAGCCCCGCAGTGGCCGTACGGGCAGGGCGGGGCGGGCCGAGGCCGGACTCGGAATCCGGCCAGCACCGGCCAGCAGCCGACACCCGCACCCAACCAACCGCCTCAGGCTCTGGGCCGGGCCCTCCGGACACCCGTAATTCACCTTCCATTTTGTCAAATGCCTCCGGATGAAAGAAAGTGCCCGTGA